CGAAAATTACAACCTAATACTAAACTATTCAATGATGTTTTTGTAATGAGATTTATACACAATAATTTCCGCTTGGCTAAATTACCATCTAATATAAAAATTAACTGTAATCAATGTAGCATTAGTTTACTCAAATAAAAAATCTATTTAAAATTAAAAAATGTGTTTTTATTGAACCTGGAAAAAAAAACTACTATTAAATTTAACCGCACATATCCGAAAAACTAAAGAAATATTTTTACTCACCATTTTTTTCTTTATTCTACCGTTTCCATTTATAAAAATAATATTAAATCGTTTAAGAAAAACTAAACAAATATATTTAAATTTTTTGAAAAGATACTTACCAGTTTCAAATAAAATAAGGGTTTCCACCTTATAATTTATAATACACCAATTTTCCTCTCTTCTCAGTGTTTAGGCAATTGTATCGCTAATTAATTTTTCTTTTCGTTTAAAAAATGACTTGTTGTTTAAAAAAAGTTCATATTCTTTCCATTCATACACTTTTAGCTTTTCAAAAATCCTGTCGTTTAGGTTTAGGTTTAAGATATTGGTATATTTATAAAAATCGTGTATGTTTTCCCTCATCCAATATGGTTCCGGATATTCTAGAAATTAATAAGTTTTTAAGCTAACTAAAACAGATATTATATATTTAAAAAATAATTTTTAGTAAAATATAAAAAAATAAATACCTTTTTTTTTTCTTTTAACTTTATCCATTTGTTGTCGTCAGTTTTAAAACGAAATTTCTTTTCATTCTTTAAATTTTCGGGAATGATTACTGGAATCCATTTTTCGTCAATTAATTTTATTGCATAATAATACGTATCCCCGGTTATTAAAAAATAATGTTCGTAATGTTTCTCCTGGAGCATGGAGTTCATTTTGTCTGAGATATAAGGGCGAAGAAGAAATAAAAGTATTTATATATTGCCTGACATTTTTTTTATCTCCCCTAAGATTACCTTTTTCTGTATTTTTTTCCTTTAAGACTTCTCACACAGATATTAAGAACTTTTTATACAATTAGATATTTAATGCAAGACTTCCCACGGGATAACTAATGAAATATGTTTTTTCTTCTTTAACCCTTCTCACCCATTTTTTTTCTTCAACACTTCCCACCATATGACTAATGTAAGTTTTTTTTTCTTCAACACTGTCCCACTCAGATCAAATAATCAACAATCAAATAATTAAAATTCACATCCGTTATTAAATATTAACGGTGTCAAAGGGTAATAACCTTATTATCAAGGATATAAAAGCAAGAGAAATAGACAAATAGATTCATTAGTTTATCAACTCTCTCTCTCTACCTCTNGAGAATGCAATAAACAAAATTCTAGGAGATATATCTCTTGCGGTAGTATTAGGTAGTGGGTGGGTAATTTACAAATTAGATTATATTGATATTCATAGAGCGACGTATAATGCATATAATGGGGATTGTGGTTCTATAATTTTACCAAAACGTTTAGTAAATAAAAAATGTATTTTAAATATTCGATGTAATGATAATAAATGTTATGTGTATTGCATTCTCGCGAGTATTTTCCCATTGGTAAATAATAAAAATAATATATCTAGCTATAAAAAATATTTAAAATTTATTAATTGTTCGAATTTAAAATATCCGGTTTCGTTGGACCAAATATATGTTTTTGAGAAATCAAATAGTATTTCCATTAATATATATGGTTATAAAGATATTGTTTTTCCGTATTATATAAGTAAGTTTAAATTCGGTAAAATTGCGAATTTACTATTATACAAAAATCATTATTTTTTAATTCGAAATTTCAACAGACTTTTACACGAAAAACAAAAGTCTCTTTATTACTATTGTAAAAATTGTTTAAACGGTTTTCAACGCGAATCGAGTTTAAATTTACATAGAGAAATATGTACAAATTTCAAATTTCAAAGACTATCGGTACCTACAGTCGAAAATTCCATTCTTAAATTTAACGAATTTCATAAGATGCTTAAGCATCCTGTTGTCGTTTATTGCGACTTCGAATGTTTAACAGAAACAGTTTCTAACGCGATGCAATCAACAGATACTAGCTTTAGTACCGTTACGCAAATTCATAAACCGATTTGTTATGCGATGGTCGTATTAGATAAAAACGAAACAATTATCTATT